ATTAGTCTGAAGATTTTAATTGTAACATTATTTTAAAATGCTCTAATTTTTTTTTTTCATAAATTTGGAACTTTTAAGAACCCTGCCATTCCTTATCAATTTTTATTAATTTCCTAGAAATTAATTTTATTTTCTAACAATTGTTATCAAGATCAACTCCATTTAGATTCCAATAAGAATTTTCAGTCAATATATCGACACATCGTCTATTAATCACATTTTTTCGCAAGAATATTTCTACGCAAGATTAAGAAACCCATCTGTTTATGTATACATGTACCATGAGAGAGAGAAGGAAAAAGTTGATCGGCTAAAACGCGTTTCGTATTCGAGATCGGGGATTGAACCGGGCGTGAACACATGCGATATTCAACGAGTATCGAGAAAATGCAGCTGGGGATATTCATCTCTGGACGTTCGTGCAACAGTTTTTCTAGCGAGCAACCCCGAGCATCCGCTTGGAACCCAATAAAAGAAGCGTATACCGATCTTCGCCGGTCATTGCTTTAAAACAATAGCACCAGACAACGTATGGGGGCGGAGAAGGGATGCAAAGGAGAGCTTTCAAGATATTTTCCAAGGTAGAGAATATTCACGATCGATACTTTCTCTATCCTCTCTTCATGTTTCACGAAGAAGTTTATTTATTTCTTCTTATTCAATTGGAGATCTCGATGAAAAAATTCGACTCATTGAAATTTAATATAGTTTCACGTCTATCTCTATCTGAGTTAATTTCATTACAATTATTACTTATTACCAGTAATTTATCATTATTTTATTATCTGTTTTTAATTTCACTACATAGTCTTATATATTGATTGACTGATGCGATCCGTTTCATCCGCAATGAGCGAAACTTCAGCAAAATCAAAACATCAGAGGGTCTTCGTGAAACACAACCAAAAAACCGAAAGACGGTAATGTCAATCGATTATAGAGATAATCCTCGAAACCTGTGTTCTGGAAAGTGAACAAGCCTCTAATGGAAGCAGAAAGCTGCATCGATCGGCATTTCTAAGGTCTGCGCATAATGCGGAAGGGGGAGGGTTCATGCGGTCGGTCTAATGGTATTATCAACCCTTAAAGCTGGACTGCTTTCAGGTCATTGGCCAGTCTATTCTATTCTCTTCTGTTTTCTCTCCCTCCCTCTCTCTCTCTTTCTCTCTCTCTCTTTCTACTCAACCTTCCATTTTTTTCTCTCTCTCTCTCTCTTCTTGTTCCACGTCCGCTTCACTCTTCTTAATTAACTTGGTTTCATTCGAGGAAATTAACACGAAAGCGCTCTAAAAATGGCACGACCAACACGTGTAGGATACCACTGGCTGGTTCATTGTCACAAAGGGAGAGTTCATTGGCGCCAACCATGCGTTACGTAGCCACGTTCGGATAAGGTTACAACCCTTAAGAAGACCCTCTTCCTCAATTGTAATTTTCGATTAAATTTCAATTTTTACGCTGGAAATATCACGAGGCTAATGATTTTCGCGAAATTGCGTTTAGTTCAAATATAATCGAAAAAAGGTTGGAACTGAGGAAATTTCTTAACAATAAATTGCCAAATTACATAGGCGAGATAAACATAATTAGACGTAAAATGCAGTCACAAAATAAACACGTAATAAACGAGACGCGTGTGTAGATTTTTTTTTTTTAGGCAATTAATTGAATGTTATAATTTATCTTAAGCCTTTGAATTACATCAGCGAAGTATTTTTATCGAAAATGTTTTCTAGATATTCAAAAGCCGATTAAATGAAAAATTATGTAAATAATAGGTTACGTGTCCGTGATATCGCTTATCGCTTTTCTTCTTAAAATCTGATTAAAATCTTTGAAGCATAAATATTTGTTGTTATTGTCATCACGATAGAAACGTTCAATTATATTTGGCTAAAATGAAAAGTAAAAGTAAAAAGAATTCACGAATACTCAAGTACTAAAGTTGTTCGTTTGTCCTAAAATATCTTGCACACCCATTTTTTTTTTCTTTCTTTCTTCATTAACAGTTAATCAACTACAGTAAAATTTTTCATATTCAATATATATATAGAATAACAGAGAGGTACCTCTACTACACAAGGAAAAGGAAAAGACACATTTTTCTTCTTATCAACAGTTAACCAACTAACACTAAAGTTTTCCATATCTGAGATTAGAGGGAGCTGAAAGATACGAGAGACTTTACTGTAATTAATTGACCGTTAATGAGAAGAAAAACGAGTTTTCCCTGCTCCTTCGCGTAGCAATGGTATTCAGGCAAGTTAGATGAACGACGTTAAGGTTCACGTACACCAGGTGATGGCGATCTTAACGCGGAGTTGGCGTGCACCTTATCTGGCACGACGTCTAGCTACCGGTTGAGTTACAAAGTCCTTCGAACCGGCAAGAAGGACTTGACTTTCCAGCAACTTTTACCTGGCTAGTTGCACGTGTTACTGTCAAGGTTGATATTTCAGGATCAAGCCTCTTGGATTGCTTCAAGATCCAAAAGCAATGTCGATATATATAAGTGTTCTTAAGAGTTAGTTTAATCGGAAGCAATTCAGGAGACTTGGATCCTATTAACTATAATTAACTGTAATATATAGAAACAGAGATGGAATAATATATACTGAACTGAAACCAAAGAATTCGAGTATGTACAGAATAATTCAGAGTGGAATGATTAAATGAATAAACAAATACAAATAAAAATGTGTAAATAATAGATAAAGGGAACAGAACAAAATAAAATTTAATGTAATGACAAGAAACAGAGTAAAATAACTAACAGCCAGTATTAATTATTTAATGCTCAGATTTCTTTTTGATTGATTAAACAATGGAGATAATGTTAACAAAGTACATTATACTTTCTCGACTGGATGATGTCAGTAACCAAATCAAACCACCAAGTAGCTAATGTATTGGCTCTATACTCTATCACTATCGTAGTCAGACTGAACATTTCTAAATACTTACTCGTACATATCACGGGCGTAAATATTAAGATGTTAGAGTTACTTTTGTATACTATACTTTGTAAACTTTAATATTTCGACTTTAAGAAACACGTGCAATTTCCTATATGAAAGAAATTTATTTTGCTCACTCAAAATCATTCAAATTAGCCATTCATACGATTATACATTTAATTTTTACCTAATATAATATGATATTGGTATGTTTCAATACAATCGGACCACACAGGATTCTTTGAAGTAATTCTTCACATTCGAAGCACTCGATCAAACATATCAAAAATATTGAAATTTGGTGTGCATGCCGGTAATCTCGAAACGATGATCAAACTGGTGTTAAAAACACTGGTACTAAAAATTCTTGGTTAGAAAAGATAAATAAGTTGGCACTTGTACGAATGTCTATGGCTACGACTGCGATTGTGGCTATGACTCTGTGGTTCTGTTCGACGATCATTGGTCAATTCAAGTGGCGAAATGATCAATGCCATGGGCGTCTACACATGCAAGGTCAAGACCCATTCCTCGACCAATACTCCAAGTTCGCTTTCGAGCGTTTAGTCGCACGCGACCGCGTTTAGAATATTTTAAAAGGCGTAAAGGCAAGACCCTCGGCAGCAATATTTGCCGATAATCTGCCGATCCGTTGCAGTCATTAATGATCACCAGACTTGTTATTAAGGTCACGGTTCGCTGGATATCGCGATAAGCTCGAAAAATTCCAAGGCTCTCCGGTTGTCGTTTACCGACACGCGAGTTTCCAGCAACCGGTCCACAGGCAATTCGATTTCCCTCACCAAGGGCCTTTCTGAC